GAATCTTCTAGTGCCTTTTTCATAAACCTGAAAAACACATATCCTTGTATCAAATATCGGGACCATAGGATACAAAACCTGAAAATACATATCCTCATATTGAAAATCAGCACTAGCAGACACTAGACAATTATTTAAATTATATGGCCACTGTACTTGTTAGTCAACACTGTGGACTCATCATAGTAGTGCTTTCTCTTTCTTGGTTTTGCTTTTGGCTGCTCAACCGGAGGAGTTGATCGAATTGCCAATTCAGGTGATGTATATCCTGCAGCACAAGAATCAAATATATTCAAAGGTAAAACAACATCTTTATATAGCATACATGTTCTAAATAATAGGAAAATTGCACCCACCACCAAATGAAATGTGTGTATCATAGATTTCAGAGGCTTGCTTCGAAGTAGCAGAAGGCGGTTCATGGTATTTCTGAAATGGAGGAGAGTGACCTCCAGATACCAGCTCTTCCATAATTGGGGTAAGGTTTTCCTTCTCTTTCTGCTGTTCTAAAGTTTTGTCCAGTCCAGGTACATCATTTCCTTGGTCTAGCCAAACAGGAGCATCATTGAAGTGGATGTCATGGACAGCATCACGCATTACTTCAATTTCAGGAATATTTTGAGAAACACCATCTTCATTAGGCGTTTCGCTAATTCCTGTCTGATTAATGGGACCAGGATCTTGGAAGTCAGCAGTTGCTCGCTCTAAAACTGAAGGATGAGAACTATAATAGAAAAACAAAGAAGAATAATTACCCACTCAAAAACACAGGAATATCAATACAGTTCCATAACCTACTCTTCCTCCATTGGTGTGAGGCCCAATCCAGAAACATCTTCCATGCGCAATGAATTCCTCGGTACATCCTATATAGAACAGAAATCTCTCCAACATGATAAGTCAGCTCAGATACATTAACATTCAGAAATGAAAAACAAGACAGGAGAAATGATGGCTACCTCATCAAAAGTGATGACAATATAATCTCTATCAATCGGAAACTGATCTGTAATTTGATTAATTTAAAAATTCAATATTTGGAATGTTAAAAATTATATAATAAACAAGAAGGAAAGGAATGAGATAATATGAATTTAAGGAAGTATGAACACCACCTGTTAGTGTAATCTCCTCCTGGCTCCTCAGATGATTATCCTGAAACCTGGAAAATCAAAATCCATGAGTTACTTGCATCTAGAAAGCTTACAAAAGACACCCAAGAAATAAGCTTCCAGGAAAAATTACCTATCCTGATAACAGTCATCATCCAAATCCAAGGCATCAAGTTCAAATTTGTCTGGCAAAGTTACAGAATGAAACGGTGCATGAGTCGCATCTTCTGGTAAATTAATTTCGACTGAAGCAAAGGCCTTTCTTATCCCTATCAATACAATATTGCAGTCGTGGTATAGATATTCAACTTGCTTCGAATATATCCGAACAACACCAAGCAGAAGATGGCTAGACATTCTCAGTGCAATTGGGACTTCTGGATTCATTATGCGCTCTACAAGATGTATTCAGAAAAATTAGATTTACAGCAGATTGATAATAAATGACACTACAATGCTATCATATGCACTTTAATGCATAGACTTCCGTAAGACAAACAAAACCGTGAGAGGGAAAATTTTCAACTGGGCAATGGATTGTAACCAAACAAGGAAGGCAGTGGAGTAGAAAGCATGGAAAACACTACCTAGCTCATACCTCTCAATACTTGTGATTAATAGAAACCAAACTGGATAATAAGTCAAAGGTTTATACTCAAATCATGGTTGCATGCTTGCAAAAACATGACCACGTGCAAGCATCCACTGAAATTAAATTATTAGGATGAAATAGTAATTATGGACTGAATATATGACAATCCATAATAATTCCAAATTTTCTATTAGAGGCAGCTATACTGTTTGAGTTCAAACAGACCATCCAATCATACATCTAAATATTGAATAACCAGAGTTTCATCACTTAATCTTCTCTATCTTGACAGCCAAGTGGTATCTCTTTAATGTGAAGGAAGTATTTTTTTTCACAAGCCACTTCAAACTTGACGACTAAAGACAACCCATGAGCAAAAGAATACCAAATTTCTAAACCCCAATCAAAGGACTAGCAACAAATTGATGCATTCTAATTCTCAGGTCACACATTATGTATCCTTCTAATGAGCGGTATGATTGGGATTTTGCAGATTCACACTACTAGCCAGTCATCTCCAATGCAGGCATATAATCAGGCTATCAATGATTTAGACAAGGAACTTGACTTTCTGAAGAATGCATTTGAGGTGACTTCTTCTTACTCTTTATTATTCTTGGAACTATAAAATTATGTTCCTGGTTTTTTGAGTATGACTTTTTGAATCCTTCCCGGGTGCTCATGGTGTCATGGTTGAGTGCATGCCTTGGCTGTCGCCTAGCAGCTACAATAAGCAGCAGAAAACAGATATAACGTCTGGTAGTTATGAACATCAGATGTGAAAATGAATTATTCTAGGCTTGGATGTTAGTGTCAAACCAAATTGTTAAGAAGTTGGAACAAATAATCTCAAATTGAAGTGTGAATTTGGACTTGGTAAATGTTATTGAGTTTAATACATGTATAAGATATTCAGTTACAGCTAGAATTATTAGTCATTATCTGCAACTAACACCATAACTACACATACATATCATTTTTGATGAAGTTATTCGTCAGGCCTATTATACTAATAACTTTTTTCTAATGACTAGCTTTTCTGGTATACTTTGCTGCCTATTTTTGAGGTGCACTCAATTGTACCAATATTGTCATATTAGCTGATTGAGGTGTTGGGTTGTTGGTCTGCATTAGCTGCAGTCTATTATGTTTAGAGATCAATGCCCTTGCCTTTTCTGAAGTGCCTGGTGGTAATGTACATACTTATAATGAAGTCATGATGCCAATTTAGAAGCTGAAGTGTTTATGTTGAGCACTCTGATCTTGGTTTTCCATTAAGTTTCACAATTGTTTAGACTTAGGTGCTGAGTTTTGGGCACTCTATAAAGCTTGGCTACACAATTGAACTGTTCTTCAGATTGAGCTGACATTTGTTACAGTCATCATTCAATTCAAAGAATCTCGGTGAGATTTTCATTTCATACGACTCCTCTCTTATATGTATAATTAGGAAAATAATAAAATAAAAAAAAATATTGAAATATTCTCATTATAAACTAAGCAAGGCTCGTGTTTTTACAAGAAATCTCTAGCCAACCTTCTAATTTTTCAGGAATTAGGTATCCAAATTACAAACGAGATGGATGTTTGTTGTACTGACCATTATTGTTAATCCCGATCCTAATAAGAAAAGGGT